GGATTTACAAAAAGTGGAAGAAAAAAGAACTTCCATCATATCTCTCTTTCCATCAACTCACTTTAACCTTGAAAAGGAAATTAGACATGAATTTACCAACAACAAAAAAAAAAGAAGGAAAGAAACTTTCAATTCATTGACTATCAATGGATGAATTACTAAATTACGAAAATACAATTATAATATATATACATTAAATTATTTTATGGTGTTTCGAATGAATTTCCTCAAATGACTCAAGCATTTTGATTTAATCGTTAACATTACCAAATAAAGTTATCTCACATTTAATAAAATTCCAATCAGTTTTTCAAATCCGCGTAGGGACAAGGGTCCAGCCGCCCTTGCATTGACCGACTTTCGGAATATTGGCCAAGTGCTTTATGAGAAAAAGAAGTAATTAGTCTAGCGTTTTGTCGGGGGCAAAGAGGCAAAATCTCATTTAAGATTAGATCGAGATGGAAAGAGAAATTGAGGGACTGGACCCAACTTTCTTTTCCATCATCCTCATATTGCTTTTTGGATTAAACAAACATAAAGTTTAGTCATGGTCTTGCCACTTACTTTCCATAATGGACATCCCGGTCAAAAAGGTGAGTGGAAACTGACGGGGGTGCTTGGAAGGAGGGACGCGGGGGCTGCAGATCCTTCACCATGGAAAGTCATTAACATCAACCACTATCTTTAAGATATTTACCAACAAATCTAGCACTTGAAGGAAACTAGACGTGAATTTGCAGAAAGTGGAAGGAAAAAGAGCTTCCATGATATCTCTCCTTTGATCAATCAAATTAACCCTTAAAGGGAATTAGATGTGAATTTGCACAAAAATAAATGGAAGGAAAGAAACTTCCAATTCAGTGACTATTGAATAAATAGAAACTTCTTTGTGTTTGGAATTTACGGCCAATGAACGGAGTATAATCCAGTGATGCTGAAGATGGTGCCAGATTTTGCACCATTGGAGAAAGGCGAAAGCATGGCTGAACAACAATGCATATGGGTGACGGATTCCGAGGGCCTGCCGAATGGTTTTCGAGGCGGCCACTTCGATTTTGTCACAAACTATTGAGGCTAATGATTCTGCTAAGAAAGTGTTCGACGAATTGTCCAAGAGAGGAGAAATGAGAGTAACAGCGCTTCTAACTTCGATTACTTGTTATGTCTAAAATAAGCAATACTCTTCTCTGTTATGACTATATTGAATAATTTGAGGTGAAGAGTCATTGTTACGGATGAGGTTCTTCTGCTAGAATCTGCTTCGCTGAGTCTTTAAATTGCTGGAGACATGCTCTTGCACATGCCAGAGGTGTTAAGGCATATAAGGAATTTGTATATCGAAACCAGCTGGTGACTCCATATTGGTTTGTTTCACAGATATGAAGTCTCCTCCATTGGTAGTGGAGGACCAAGTCCAGGAAGGTCAGTGCGTGAACAGAAAGCTTTGTGCATAATGAGTCTACACATAATAAATCTCATATCTCTACTCAGTTAAATACATAAAGTTCCCAATTCTATACCCTCAAGACTCCTCAAAAGAAATTTAAGCAAAAAAAAAGGATAAATAATTTATATAACTGGACAACCAGTTTTTACCATGAAATATGTCTATTAACCTTCAGAAAATGAGTTCACCTAATGATAATAACAAACATACGATCTACGAAATTGAGAGATCATGAATATTACTTGGACTTAGCCTTTAGTCAGTTGGACCACATATAAGGGTAAAGGTCTTCGATGGCAACGATGGCCTTTCCTTTTCATGGAGTCCTTTTCAAGGTCAACACAAGTCCAACTGTACTTTCCACTTTTGACTTCTTTGGCCGACTGCACTAACGGGGAAATATAATTTTGTGTGCCCCTCGCTTTTATTCTTGGCCGTCTTCAACTACAGAAAATCAAATTTCCATATATTTATTTTCGAACTTTAACGTACCAAGTAATTTAATTAAGATCGTTTATTTAATATGCTCAAATTCAAAATATATTTTAATAGGTACACCACAACTAGGCTCTAAATTAATATATCTTACATTGATCAAGTAGTCGTGATTTGGAGCCTAGTGAGATATAAAGATGTTGCTCCGGAGACCGAATAAGTACTCCAAAAGCCATAACAAGTCAAAATTAATGGGGGCTTTAAGCCTTAACAAAAAAATTCATGACGACTAAATCACAGAAAATGACGTCAGTGGGTTCCTTAATTTAAGAATGTCATAGGGCTCTCGCCTAGCTTTAGAGATTGTATTTGTAGGATTAACTCCACGTTAACCTATAGACATTTATTTTATTTTATTTGTTTTGCTGTCTCAAGAGACAAATGCTTCATAGTGGTACTGATAATGTCAAGAAAAAGTTATTATGGATGTATCATGTCCTCTCAATCCCCTGTATGCCAAAACCGCCTCATTTAGTAAAATGACACAATTGCCCTTAATCATTTAACTAAATTGTAAAATGCATTAGACCATGTCGTAATAAAATCACTATTACATTCCCCAATGCGGATAAAAGATAAAAATTAATTAAAGCATAACTTTGCATAAATAAATTAAAATGACGGTTAAATTTAATTCGTTTTGAATTGACAAAAAGAAGAACAACAACAAGAAGAAGAGAGAGCAGGAAGTAAATTCACAGCCTCTATCTTTCAGCCAAACAAAAAAGTCCCAACACCTAGCCCAGCTTCTCGATTTTGATCATTCAAAAAATAAAATAAAAACGTGAAGCAGACTGCAGTGAAAGCACTCAAAGGCAATGATATCATTTTTCTTTTTCTTTTTTTCTAAAAATTGGAGGAAATACGTGGAATTACGTTTGTAGCCCGGAAAGAGCTTTATCGGTTCCTTCGTGCCTTATACAAAAATCGAACCAACCTAGAATTAACACGAAGTCTTTTTTTTTTGAACCCAGGTATCCTGCAGCTTGGCGCGCACCTCGACTATTCCTCGGAGGAGACTAGCACAGTAACCCACCGCCATGGCCCCCCACTTATTTAACAGGAAGTCTTTCATCTTCAGTTTAGCTAAAAAATTTGTCTCAACGGTCGAGCTCGACGAAGCTCTTCGTGGCCATGGCTGCAAGCTTGACGAAGCTTTCACAGCCATGGTGAAGCTCAATTGGCCATGACTGCAAGCTTGAAAAATGTTTGACAGCCGGAGTGCCCATGGTCGAGCTTGATAAAACTCGAGCAAGCTGTGGCCCATGGCTAGTAGCTCGAAGAAGCTTGAGTGGCCATGGCTGCGAGCTCAACGAAACTCCAATGGCCATGGTTGCCAACTTGAAGAAGCCTAGAAGCTGAAGCGACGATGGTTGCAAGCTCGACGAAACTCGAGTAGCCATGGCTGAAAGCTTGAAGAAGCCTGAGAGTTGGTAGTTATGGCCGAGCTCCACGAAACTCGGGCGACAAGGTTTTGCCTCTTTTTCCCCCTTAAATTCTTATTTATTTTTTATTTTTTTAAATTTTTATCCTTTTTCCTTTTATCCTATTTTATTTTTTTTTAAAAATCTTGTTATCCTTTTTTCTATTAAATTTTCAAGTATTTTTTTAAAGTAACGCTTGGTGGAAGCCATATCGACATCATTTGTATTTAAAAAGTAATAGAACAAAGGTCACGTCCATATTTTCCGTTAATTAAATTAGATAGAGTTAATTGAAGGATTTAATTACACAAATTTAACAAATTTTAAAATTTAATTGTATATTTTGAAAATTTAGGGATTTGGTTGCACTTTCTAGTGCACTTATTCCTATTTGTAGATTAGATTTCCAAATACGTTTGCACATGGGCCTGGAACATATAAAATTAATGCATTTGACTAATAAATCAAGTGATTCAATATAGGACCCACAAAATGTAACGGATCACATCCATCAAGCGGATGTCTACACAATAAACTAAATAAATTTCCACATACGTTGTTGCGGTCCATCGTTATCATTGAACATTCAATTTCCACGAAAAACTTGATTGGTTTTATGCGGTGCCTACCTTCTTCTCTTTCACTATCATGTCTTTAATTCTCAACTAATTTGAAAAATGGTTTGCATACTTTTCCTTGGAAAATTTCTGGGTCATGACAAGCTTTAATGACCGCGTGAGAGGATAAGATGTGTCTCATCTTTGAGTTGAAGAGGTCCCCAGCAGAAAATTAAAGTGTCCTCCATTTGTACTGAACATGTGCATGTGGACTTGGGAGGTGTCGATGTTGGAGGGAAGTGGAAGTTCTTTAAATCTGCCTTAAACGACCCGAATGGGTCTGCTTCTGTCGTGGATTCTTGCAACACCAACAAGATATCCGTGTATCATACGAGTTTAAGACTATGTTTTACTCTAAAATATTGACAATTAATCAATTTTGCATTCATTGATATTTCAAGTTAAATATAAGATATATTGAACGTTGATCAGAATTGTTTTGATCACATTATCAAATTGAACGAAGAAGTTGTCTTATTTTTTCTTCAATGAGTCCAAACAATTACCAGTTTATGTGATAGCTCTTGGCAAAATAATATTTATACTAAAAATTAATAACATCAAGTTTTTGTTATTTATCTCTCGTTTTTTAGAAACGATACTTGGGGAACGCATATTTCCTCTATAACTTTGGTGAAATCACTAGTGACTTTTTTTTGTCGATCTGCTTATAATCATTTTTATAATCAATTTATAACATTCATCTTACAATTTTCATCTCTCTTTTGGAGAAGTTCTGGGTTAAGTCAACGGCGATAATTACGTGTTCCGTGGAATTGGCCGCAGTAGACTTTGAGTTTACCGATGGTTTTTTTTGGTGGAGTTGGCCCAACCATAATAATCACTCAAAAGGGATAGACTCCGCATGTATAAATGAAGTGGATGACCCTCGTGAGTTTGCACATGGTGAAGCAGAAGAAACAGATAAACGCACAAAATACCATTATAAATATGAAGTGTCTTTCATTGGGTATGTGGACTTGGGTGCTATTGGTATTGATGGGAAGTGGAAGAAGCATGGGGTGCTCGGAAGAAGAGAGGAATGCACTGCTCATGATTAAGGCCGCCTTCAACCACCCGAATGGGTCTTCTCTTTCATCGTGGCGTGATGGCAACGGTGACTGCTGCGGCTGGGAACGCGTGGAGTGCGACAACATCACTTTGCGGGTGACTGAACTAGATCTGAGCTGGATACGCCCGCAGGCATTGGGAAAGGACTATTGGGAATTGCCTGGGCTGGTTATTGACGCGTCTTTATTCCTTCCCCTGGAGGAAATTCAAGTGTTGGATTTAAGTGTGAATTCTCTCTCAGGTGAATCTCTCTCTCTCTCTCTCTCTCGCAGGTATTTGTTCCTTTTGTCTTTTTTCAATTATGTCTCTATGTAATCGTTTACTTACCGTTTCTGAATAATGTAAAAATGTCATACGTGGGTGCTCCAAACAACAAAGTGGATTAAGTGAATTAATGACAAACACATGATTGCACAAATGATGCAATTCTTAAAGTAGTTGATTGCACATATCATAAAATAATTATTAGACTCATCTCCACAATCAGGATAGGTACGAAGAGCTAAACTCGAATCAGCTCAGTAGGCAATGATTTACCAAATGCGGACTTTTCTACCATCATAAAGAGTCTGACTTGTTTGCATTTTGAACCCCAACAAAGTTGACTTGAAGGGCACTTGTTTGGAAGTGGACTAAAATCTACTTAATACTTTTATTTGTGACTTCCTCTCAAGATTCAAAATAAGTAAAAAGAAAATCAAGTTCCATCAGATTATGAAAGAACTATATATAATTCTACGTACTAATATTTACATGTTTGGAAATGTTTTGAGTGTTTCATGATAATTAAAAGTCAAATTGTGAAGGTGATAAGGTTTGCAAAAAATAAAAAATTAAAAGTAAAAATCACGAAAAGTAGATTGATAGAGGGGATTAATTTAGAGGGAAGAGAAAGGATCTTAAAGGTAGTGTAGGGTTTGGATATAGGGAAAGAAAGGGACAGGAAAAGAAAGAGTAGAAGATATTAGGAGGAATTATGTATAGTCATGTGTCTTTTAAATCCCTCATATAAATGGATTTGGAGGGACTAAGGGGGACCAATACTTTCATCAAACATCATTTTTCTTTCCCACATATACCTTCGATGCATTTCAAATTGTAAATACATAATTAATTATATATATAAAAGTACAATAAGGTGATAATGCATCATTTCTTTTCTTTTCTCTCTAGATCATTCCTTTTTCTAGTATCCAAACAATAAAATGAGGGTACATTTTCTCAGCTCTACTAGTGTTAGTTAACTACATATGATCGACATTGTTAAGGGTATAAGTTACTTGTTTATTAAATTGGTTTACAAATTCATGTGACAGAGACCTTTTTTATGCTCGAATAATTCGAACCAGCTGGTTTCTACTTATAAACCAATTCTCCTCATCATGATCATATAATTATTATCAATAAATTTAAGGTAGTTAGACATCTGATATCTGTAGAGAATTAATTAACTATTAGGATATGTATGAGTCTTTTCTTAACCAGATTTAAAAGGAACTCTACACCTGAGGAAATTGAAGAGGCTAGATCTATCTATCAATCAACTACAACGAGTCCCCTCACTGTACAAGCAAACTTCAGTGGATGCCCAAAATTTATCTTCCAATCAGCTTGAAGGTACATGTAAAATAGAAGACCATGCCTTGATATATAAAGTTCGATTTTGAGAACCTTTTGTTAATCACAGGTATGAATCTGGAGGCACTGGATCTTTCTGATAACAAATTGGTGAATGATGCCCTCGTGGACATTGCGAGGATAACATCTCTTAAGGCCTTAAGCATCTATTATTGTGGACTGAATGCTTCGAAGTTGCTGGAAGGTACTTCTCTGAAAATGCTTTCATTATCACTTTCTTAAGAGAAAATTAGATAAGATTATCTTGAATATAGAAGGCATGACTGCATTATATTCGACATCCTCTGGATCATATTTTGGCTGCACATTTTCTTCAAATAACTTAGCGCCAACAACTTGCATCTAAGTAAATGATATCATTTACTTGTTTGCCTTATGCTTGAAGTGGGAAGGATTTAGTTAAATGTCTATGGAAGCCATAAATAAACCCATGTCATGCTCAATTTCTTTATTGTGGGATCATGATTTCGGTGATCATAAAAAGTTTGGTCTTTTTCAATTTAATCCCTGATCTTTAAATATTGAAGTTTAGGCTCCATGCTTTTACTTTTGTGAAACTTTTTTACTAGCCAATCTGAAGAATAGTGTGATAACATAACATATACAAGGAGTTATTGCTTAGAAGATAAATATAGTCAAAATAACAATATACCAGAGGGGTTCAAATATTGTGCCGGAATCATAATAAAATTAAATGCAAAAGTTAATCGGGAATCAAAATCCAAAAAATCCTTACAGTTTACATATTAAACCACAATGGTGGTCAAAATTCAGGGATTGCAAGTGCTAATAAATTCAACTAGGCCATCAATATTATATAAGAAACTGAAAATTCGTATCAGTAAATTAAGATGCATAAAATCAAACAAAGAAAGCATTTCTTATAATGGATAAATTAATTTATTTGAAAAATGTTTTTTTTTCCATTAAGGTAAACAATGTATAGAATAGAATAAATAATTATAATATTAAAAACTCATTCGGCCTTAAAAAAACTCGGCATCTTCAACACCAATGTCCATTACTGACTCCGCCCACCGCGGCCCGCAGGCCCATCATCACCACGAAGCTCGGTCACCATTACCACCACTAGAAGACCTTACACGACCGTTGGTGTGAACTACGACGACCTGAGATCTAAAGTGTGTCCTCAATTTTGAGGCCGTGATGCTCAAAACTGAGGTCACGTGTCTCAAATCTAAGGCCCGGAGGGGGGAATGGACAAGCAACGAGGTGGCAGTGATGGACAGCAAACTGGGACGCGGTGGTGGAGGGCGGCGGGTTGCGGTGGTGAGTTGCGAGTCCAAATGATGTTTGGGGGGCCTCCACTGCTGACTTGGTAGGCATGTCAGCGAAAAGATCATAGTGATCTCGCGCTGCACTAAATGGAGGATCCCGTTGCATTGTTTTTGAAAAGTACATAATTAAACTGGAAAAAAAAATTCAGAAACTATAACGAAAATGGAGCAAAGGTTTGGAGGTTGCCCATGCAATTAACCCATAAATTTTAGGAATAATATCAACTTTAGTGTTCATTTCCAATCCAATTCAAAATTTGTCAACCTCCGGAAGTAATTAATTTAATGTGAAGAATAGTGGAAATGAAGCATCGTGGGGATGCGACTCCACTCCAAAGCTCCATCTTACCAATTTTTCTGTTTGTATTTTTGGATATTAGATTGCACGCTCTTTCTATCCTCCATTCTCGACACAAATCATGACCTTGAGTGTTTTAATCATACAAAGTTCAATTTAGTGACGATACTCATAGTTGTAGTGCTCCCTTCAACAGGCTTGTGCGGATTGAGAAACCTTGAAGAGTTGGAAATTACGGGTAATGGATTTTGGGGTCCTCTTCCTTCATGCTTCTGTAATATGACCTCACTTCGGGCGCTTGATGTTCAGAATAACCATTTTAGCGGGGCCATTCCTTCATCTCTCCTCTATAATCTCAAGTCACTCGAATATATTGCCTTTTCTGGAAATGCTTTTGAAGGCTCACTTTTGCTTGCTTCCCTGGCTAATAATTCTAACCTTGAAGAATTCCATCTCATGGACAATTATAATCGGCTGGTAGTAAATACAGAAGAGCCCACTTGGTTTCCTTCATTTCAACTATGGACGTTTAGTTTATCAAATTGTGTGCTCAACAAAGACGCAGGTGGCGTAATTCCTAGCTTTCTGAAAGAACAGTATAACTTGAGGGGTATTCAACTCAGCCACAATGGAATGACAGGAAATTTCCCAAGTTGGCTATTGGACAACAATGTAAATCTAGAACAGATCGTACTCAGAGGCAACAATTTGTCAGGTTCATTTTATTTGCCTTCCAATTCGAATCTTGTCAACTTACGGATTTTCGAAGTGTCTGCTAGTTTTATTGAAGGAGAGCTTCCATCTCAAATTGGTTGTATCCTCACGAATTTGGAATATTTGAACCTATCAAACAACTATTTAACAGGTGGAATCCCATCCTCAATGGGCAATATGCACAGGTTGTCCTTATTGGACTTGTCGAATAATGGCTTCACGGGAGAAATACCGGAGACCCTAGCTAGAAATTGTACGTCTCTTTCTATATTGAAACTGTCAAGCAACAATTTGCAAGGCCAAATGCTACCGAAGTATTCTAACTTGGCCAGCTTGGAAATTTTGTGTCTGGATGGCAATCGTTTCACAGGGGGCATATCGCCTGATATATTAAATAGCTCCTCGTTGCAAGCTTTGGATGTAAGTAGTAATTCCCTATCCGGAACACTTCCTAATTGGATTGGAGATATTCAACACTTGAGGGAGCTTATGCTATCAAGTAATTTATTGGGAGGTCCTTTACCGTTGAGCTTATGCAACTTACCATATCTCAATCTTTTAGACCTTTCAGGCAATAGCCTTGGGCCGAATATACCCCCTTGTGTCAATGTTACATTTATGAGGTTCTTGCATTTAGCAAATGACGCGCTTGTTGGGCATTTTCCTGAGTTTCTTTCAGGAGCTTCATCGATTGTCACGTTGGACCTACGACGTAATGCATTGTCAGGTGAGGTCCCCAGCTGGATCGGTTCACTTTGGAACTTGAAGTTTCTTCTACTACAGGGAAACAATTTTGAAGGTTCAATCCCTTTGGATTTATGTCTATTGAAAAATATGAGCATATTGGATCTTTCCAATAATAATCTTTCTGGAACAATTCCTTCTTGTTTGAAAGATTTGACATTTGGAAACGCTGAGATATCTAATGACGAATTTGCTACCTGGTTGGCTGGGATATCGTACATTGGCCCAGAATCTATTAGTAGATTTGGTTTATCTTTTCCGTATATTGACGCAGATGTTTATATGGAGAGATTAGAAGAAGTAAACTTCATGACAAAGAGTAGGCTGGAATCTTATAAGGGCAACATTTTAAAACTCATGTCGGGAATGGATCTCTCGCATAACAATTTGACGGGCTTTATTCCTCCAAAGGTTGGGTACTTAAGTGAACTTCGAGCGTTGAACCTGTCACACAATCATTTGGTGGGAACGATTCCAGAAACATTTTCCAATTTAAAGAACATAGAGAGCTTGGACCTGTCCTTCAACAGCTTAACCGGTCCCATCCCTCCGCAACTAATAGAGCTTTACACGCTGTCAGATTTTAGTGTGGCTCACAACAACTTGTCTGGTAGGACACCAAACCGAAAAAATCAATTTGGAACTTTTGGTGAAGCAAGTTATGAAGGTAACCATTTTCTTTGCGGAACACCATTAACCAGCTGTAATGACTCCAATCAGGGACAGAGGACACTACCACCTTTTAATCATACAAGGGAGGATGATTCTTGGAGAGAAGCATTCTTGTGGAGTTTTGCAGGATCATATGTGGTGGCGTTCCTTGGGGTGGTTCTTTTTCTCTATGTAAACTCTTACTATGAGTGTATGCTGTTCGAGCTTGTTCGTAAGCTTATCCCATCATTTCCCTAGTAGAGATTGTTCTTCTAATTATTTTGTGATAGAAAAATATGATGAAACGGTGGAGAACCTTTATTTAATAGGATTGTAAGCATTTGAGTCTTTATTAAGGATTGTGAACGCTTGACTCCTAGAGTGTTCATTTTGTATTTCTTGTCGTGATAATTTGAATACTATGAGATTTGATTTGGTTGTCAATTGAGAGGATTTTTACTTCACAACCAAAAAGAATCCAACATTAACAAATTTCTATAAATGTTACCCAAGACGTGAATTATTGGATGGCTGGGACCAGCAACATCATACCAACTAGGTTTTAGTGTCTCAAGACAAGATCCTACTAACTTAAAGGATTGGGTGCTGGGAATTGCTCCAATTTGACGATTAAGGCATGCATTGCAGTACAATTGCTCTGCAGCCTGAACCCACCTTTGTGCTCACTGCTTGATGAAGAATTATATCGAGAGAATTAAGCCTTATCCAACACTTAATGCAAAATTGCTTGGACTATAAGTTCGACTCTACCGGTAGAATTTTAGGGGCGACTTTCTTCTTCATGTATATCAGGATCAACGATTAAGCCGACGTTTCTTTTCCCATCACCTTAATGTTGTCTTCAACCTAAAACAACATAGAATATTTGTCAAGGGTCGACCCAGTCACACCCTTTATCTAGAAGAAATCTTGGTCGAGCTAAATTGATAGCCATCTGGAAGACACATAGCACAAAATGCTGAGCTACATATAATACAGATACTGAATCAGGCAATGAAGCAATGCAACAATTCGCCAAAAAAACATGAAGGACTCTTTGCTAGTGCTATGCATGTGGAGTTCAATGGTGCTGATATTGGCTATTGCAGAATAATGTGAATCTCGTCGAGTTAAAACTCCCCGGCACAACTTGTCGGGCCAACTTGTTGGGTGCTATTCATTTGCCCTCCAAATGAATCTTGTCTATATGGTGTTGGTTCAATGCTTCTGCCAAAATGATCGAACGAAGCTTCCATCTCAGATCGATTCGTTCCTTCCAAATTTGTAGTACCCAAACGTGTCATTGATAGGAGGTAGAATCCCTCCATCAATAGGTGATATGAAATTGTCGATGACCTTAGATGTGACATCCTCGATTCGGACCCTATTTTGGCAAGAGAAGTGGCTTAAATTGTCAATGCACTAATAGTAGGGTTAGACCATGAGTTGATTCAAGAATCGTACATGCGTCAATTATTCGATTATGAAGGGCAATTGAGGGTTGAAAAATGCGATCGACTAGAGTACTTGACCATGGAAAATAGCTCAACCATAAGCATTGATGTGGGACAACCTTATGATGTTACGGGTTAATCAGTGAAAGGTTAGGAATCGATTCAACGGAAGTATATATAGTTGGATTGTGGATGATTCCGCGCGGTCATTATACTAAATCTGAACAATCCTAAGCTAATTTCACAAAACCACGTGCCCCAGGTAAATAAGTCAATTCTGCACGATTACATGACAACCGATAATGATTTATGGATTGACGAGACTCGACTATGGATTGATTTATTAATCAACCATAAGTCACACTAGTGACACCCAAGAGGCCGTCTAACTAGAATAGACCGTATTAGGAGCACTTCCCATTGAAGTTTAGACACGAGTCTTGGTCCGGTTATAGGTTTTCGATTAAGGATAGTTCAGAGACTTTCCTTTCCGGGTTAGTCGAGGTAGATCTCGAGAATAGTTTTGGGCCCCGAAACTTTGGATAAAGGAATTATGGGGCCGAGATTTGGAAACCCACAAGGGAGTGGGCCGTGAAAAAGGCCAATGGGCCTCACGCCCAAGGCCAAAGCCCAATGGGCCCAAGGAAAGCCCATTAAGCCTTTTAAGCCAATTTCTCTTCCAATTGGGCCCGTTCAAGCCCAAGTTTGTTGGCCTAAGGCCTATTTGAGTTAAGCCCAAGCCCACATGTATAGTGTTCTAGCTTGCTTGGGAAGTTTGCTTGAAGCTTGCATAAAAAGCTTGCAATGAAACTTAAAAGGAGAAGTTGGCAAGAGGAACTTGAGGAGGAAGCTTCCTCTCATTTTCTCTCTCCCTCACACTTTTCGCTCCTCCCCCTCACATTCTCTCTCTCTCTCTCTCTCTCTCTCTCTCTCTCTCTCTCTCTCTCTCTCTCTCTCTCTCTCTCTCTCTCTCTCTCTCTCTCTTTCTTTTCCTTTTGGCCGCCGTTCACCACCCTTACCGCCCCCAAGCCATGCCGTGAGCCGCCCTTGCCGAGCCACCGCCGTGCGCCATCCACTGCCGCTCATAGCCGCCTGTCTAGCCCATCGCAGCTGCTGTCCAGCAGTCGCCCCAGCGAGACCCATTTTCATGCCGCCACCCCGTGCCGTTCCGGACTGAGCCACACGTAGCCCTCTCCGCCGCGGTCGCGCCCGTGTCGTCGAAATCGTTTTCGAGTGAGTTAACACTCTAATTCCTTGATTAGTACATTAAACTTGCTTAGGGTTAAATTAGACTAAGTTAATTATGCTTAGTGCTAATTAATGAGAGATTAGTTGATAAGCTATCGCGATAAGTGATAGGAGGAAGTGATAAGCTATCGCGATAGATGATAAGTGGACTTGATAGGTTATTGAAAAAATGTGATAAGCTATCGTCAAAGGGACGATAAGTTATCGGGTATTTGTTGATAAGTTATCATAAAAAAGGTGATAAGTTATTGTGGATTAGGTGATAAGCTATCACTAAAGGGGTGATAAGCTATAGAGAATTGGGTGATAAGCTATCACCAAAAGAGTGATAAGCTATCAGAAAATAGGTGATAAGCTATTGCTCAATAGGCGATAAGCTATCGGAGGAAGAGCGATAAGTTATCGATGGTAAGGTGATAAGTTGTGATTAGATGTGTTTTGTGCTTGAGTTATGTGTTGAGCTATGCATGTTCTATGTTGTCTAAGGCATGAATTGCCATGAAAAAGGATTGCTTTAGTTAAAGGACTTAGGTTGCTAGTTTAAAGAAAGGTTTTTATGGACATATAAGTGAAAACCCCGAGGTGTCGGGTTTAAATGTCCAATTTTATGAGTTAAATGGGGCAAGGATGTTTAAAAAGGAAGTCGTTCAAAGTTTGATGGGTTGATTGTGTGTATGTGATCACGTGTGAATTTATAACTAAATTTTTATGTGTGGAAGTTGCAGTAATTTGTTGCGTGAGCACGAACCACGTTTGCATTTAGCTAAATGCTGAGATATAAATGAGTTGTGTGGTTGTTATGCTCTCATGATCACATAATATCTTGATGCGTTTTACGTGGGGTTGAACCCGTCCTGATGCGTTTAACGAAGGGCGATGCCCGATTTATCGGATGCCGTCCGGGCCCGGCAGTTTCCGAGGGACGATGCTGAGTCGCGGTTGAGGACGGGCCGATACTCTTAATTGAATGCCGTCTGGGCGGGGGTTCCAAATGATACCGTGCCCGATGAAGCGGGACGATGCCCAGTTATACCGGAAGACCGCCAACCTGATACGAGTAACGCGGGTTGTGCCGTGGCCCTATGAGGTCGTAGTAATCGGAACACGCGTGAAAGAGTGTGGATGCATTGCGCCTGATTATAGGATGAAATTATGAGGGACGGTATGAAACGGGCCAAAACGGTTTCACTTTATAATCGGGAATCGTGTGAATGCTTTGTGCATGGGAAAACTGCTAGTGTTCTAATTGTATTATATACTTGTTGCATTATTATTGCACATGATGGTTTATAACATGCAGGGCGTGTGTGCCAAGGCAAGGTAAGAATGACTGCGATTATTTAATGGCACGTTTGTTTATGCTGGGCTGGGTAGCCTACTCATGCGTATAGTTAAGGCAAAGTAGGGGTCGCTTTGCTATTGATCTGTCGTCGATGTGTGGCTGAGTGTTTAGGTGCGCCCGAGGTGAGTTGACTTCCTAATCGAGGCTTAGGTCGTTAACTTACTGAGATTTATTTTACTCGTTGTTGTTAACCATTTTTCAGGTGCTCAGGTATGAGTATGCGTTGCGTTCCATGAGAACCAGCTGTTTTGAGGGGGATCACCTTTTGAGGTTATCCTCGTGGATAGAGAAGCTAGGTTAAACTCCTACCTTTTGTGGTTGTAATCAGGAAGGTCTGCATGGTGGACTTGTAATATATTAATCCCCGATGTACTTCTGATAATATATATAGATATGTTATACGTTTTCCTTACTATCCATGTTGTTGTTGCTCGGAGATGTTGTGCTTTCGCTTGCGTTTAGCTAAAAGATAAAATGAATGAGTCGGCGACGCGTCCTGGGACGTCGCAATTCCACGACCAAGGAAGGATGTTCGCGCGCTCGAGGGTTCGGGGCGTGACTTTAGACTTGTCGAATAATGGCTTCATGGGGAGATAGCCACTGGCCATAGGTTGTGTCTCACTATCTATACTAAAACTGTGTTGACACCTAAATTTTGATGACCCGTTAGTTATTAATTGAATAGAAAGTTAGGGATCGACCTTGACTCCTACAAAAACTATTAATTTAAATTTGCATATTAGTTGCATTTTTCATGCATTATTAATGTCACATAATTTGCATATTTAATGGATCGGCGGCAAATGGACTTAACAAATGATATTGAGAAGCATGTAAGATTCAGCCACATAAATTATTCTTTACATAGGGGCCGAAATTCATAAAGAGAGGAAGGTGCTGTCTCGACCTTCCCTCGAGTGAACCACCTAGGGTGTGACTGATGGATTACTAAGCTTATACCTAGTTCGGGCTCTTCCAAGCCCATACTAATTCACAACTTATGTTCAATTTCACCATGCAATTTAATCTTATTTCGGAGTCGCTACTAATCAGTTATTAATGGGTCGATTAGAAACCTGAGTGAAGTGTAGGATGGTACTTTACTTCTACGAATAAGAGATTTATGGATTCAGAAACTTGATTACGCTAGATAAAACTAATGCCCTTTCGGTATCTCTTCTATTTCCTTAAAAATCCAATTTCATAAGCTTATTGAGAACCCTAATGACCTTAAATGAAGAACCCGCTGCCGTCATTTTGTACCCAAAAAACTTTACTTCTTTCCTGGGTTTTGGGCTGTTTTAAGAAAACTCCTCAAGCCCATTAGCTGTAGATTTAATTATTTATGCATTTT